AAAAGAAAATAATATAAAATTTAAAAAATAAAAATAAAATTTAAAAATAAATAATAAATAATATGCAATAAAATTTAATTTAAATAAATTAAAATATAACAAATTACAAATAAAACAAAAATAAATAAAATCGTTTATGATGAAACCCTCGGTAAGCAATTTACATATCGTCGTTTAAAGTACAAACCGCGTATCGTCATTCTGCAAAACCGCGTAACTGGCATTAGCTGCCAAAAATTGGATTTGCTCACACAAGCTCTTGGCTCAATCCTTATCCATTCGTCCTGAAATATACTAGCGAGAAATGCGATTGCTTTATAAAAAAGAGAACCATTTTGAAATATGAGTGTTTTACTCTCTAGAAGATAATTTACATAATTCACATACGCGGTTTTGTACTTTAAACGACGATATGTATATTTATAGTCTTATCATACCGTCATACTTTCAGAGATCGTAAATATAAATTATTATTAGATTTTTAGATCTCAAAACGATGGCCCGCTTTTAACTTTAAAATTATTGATTTATTTTATGATTAAGATACCCCGTGGGTTTTTTCATATAAAGCTTAAAGGATGATTTGTCTCATGTCTTCATAGGATGTTTTAGAGTTCCGGCCTTTACAGAATTTGTTGGGTATTTTTATATTTAATGAACCTTTCAAATCTTAACTTTTCTCTTTATCAGCGCCTGAGAGATAAGAAGCGAGAATTCGTTTGCTGAAGTTCCGTTAAAAAATGTTCAATACGTTTTCAGTTACTTTTATACATTCGTACTTAGGTACGTACTTACACATAAACATATGTAACGACGCAAAGTTTTAACACTGCTGGTGATATCTGGCAGATTCGGTTGGGGGATGTGGGTTAATTGCATTTGGCACACATGGCATTCATACACCCTCGACGTTGCTACATTTGCCGGTGTTGCTTTAGTGTATTCTATGAATATGCACATCATAAACATGCTTGTAGCTTTGTATATTACATGAGTTGGCGATCCGCGACTTTATATGCATACTCAGAATAAAATAATGAGTACGATTTTTTGTAGAACTATTCTCAAATATACCGACATTCATGTACCTACATACATATGTATGTACAATAGGGTGCCCATCGAAAATGCCTTTTTTTTGGAAATTTCAAGACCCTACTCCCTAATTTTATTCGTTTTTATCAGAAATTTGATTGCCTATTTTTATAGGTTGTTTAAAGGTCATTAAGAGGAGGTCGCGACCTGTCGATTTACGTCTGAAAATACGATTTTGTATGTGGTAAGAAATTACCAAAAAAAGCATTCGATGGGCACCTTAATGTACATACTTAAGGACATGGATTTAATTTTGAACGATGTTGAAGTGTTTTTGTTGTGCGCATGCAGATGACTTATCACTCGGTGCGTTGGCACTCCCCAACCGGCTGAAATAACAGTAAGTATGCTGTCACATGCTTCTGTGACTTTGTTTTTTTCTGCATGTCTACCCCATTTCGCCAAAAGAAAACTGGAGCAGCACAATTGCTTTTTATTATGAGCTTAGACCTCATATTATTTAGCATACATACATATGTATGTATATTTGTAGCTCACTCATATGTACATATGTACATTTGAATGCGCTGGCATTCCGATGTCGCCTTTCGCATGTAAAATAATACTGTGGCTTGTGAAAAAATAGTTCAACTAATGGAAGTGCAACTTCATACATACATATACAACATAGTACTTTTTCTTTGTTGAGCTTTTACGGAAATTTATTATGCATAAATACCATCCAATTAACATTAAAAGTGTACAGCCATAATGCGAGTACTTACAACAAAGAAACTTAAACATTATATTTTTATAGATACATAGGTATGCACATATATTAATGATCTTCAGTAACTTATTGGTTTGCTTGATTATTTACTTATGTACATTTACATACACATACGTATGTACAAAGGTATGTACGTAAATATAAAAATAAGTATGCATGTATGTACATATGTGTGTATGTAGTTAAACATTGCTACTTTCAAAGAAGAAAGTACAGCGTTTGTTTAATTTACCAAAGCGGGTAACAACAGATAACAATTAGAAATTATCTCTAATTAAGTTATGCGGGCCATGCATATATGTACATATATATGTACACGTACATATGTATGTATAGTACTTCAAGCACAGTGTTATCTTGCACAAACAAAAGCAGATTTTGTCATTAGCTGATAAGATTAGACAACTCAGAGAGGTCACAGTGGAACGCATGTATATGTATTGACTATAGACATTCAATAATGCAAATATGATCGCTTTTATTTTCTAATGGAGTACTAATATGTATGTACTGTACATATTTCTAAACATCATTAAATCTTATGATGTCGATAAATTATGGAGCTCAGAGACTTAGCTTAAGTTCCGATGGGTGTCAGTGTTGTTGTTGTGGTTGAAGCGGCTACTAAACTCCGTTCGATTCGGCTCATCCATCAACGTTGTCCGTCTAGTTCAGCTAAGGGAAGGCCGAGAAAGTGCGCGACTTCAAAAGGTGCTATCCATAGGGACGGGGGCGTTAGCTGTGTGGGGTTTTGGGGACATGCGAAGAGGTGCCGTGAGAGATGTAGCGACTGTCCGCATATCGAGCATTGATTGGGCATATATTCGTTGATTCTGCTCAGGTATGAATTTAGTCTGCTGCTATAGCCAGAGCAAAGTTAGACTATTGCGGTGCGAGTCTTCCGAGGCAGACAAAGTTCTGTCCCGTCCAGTCAGGTGGTTGTGTGCCCAGAACTGCATTCACAGGTCGTGAATGCTATTTAGGTCCTCTCAGTATGCAGTTGGGTTCAGAGGTTGTGTTATGAACCTCTGGACTTCGTTCGTCAGTTTGTAGAGATGCCTTCTGGCACACTACCAGAAACTGCTTGTCGAGCATGGTGTTATGCTCTTTAATAGGGATCATCCGATGGTTATTCCCGCTGGCTAAGAGTTCAAGGCAATATCGATTTGTCGATTTGTGCAGAAGGGAAAAACGCAAAGTTAAAACATGTTTATTGCCATTGTTAAGAATATCAACAAGTTACTTTGTGCCTTAACCGACTCCTTTTATAAACGCCAAGGTCAAAGAGTGCAGTTGTTTTTCATAAAGAGCTGAAGTGGATTTATTAACCCAATTCGAAAAAAGGATCGGATAACTTTTGACCACATGAACTGTTTCGGTTCTTTTCTACCCGAAAAGTGGTATCTTCAGCGTGGTCCCATATTAACGGTAATCCGAAATTTTATATGAGCATTTTAATTTGTTTATATTTTTTGCTAAAAAAAAATTTGTTTTAAATACTCTTTACTAAGGGCCGTTTTGTCAAGTAACCTGTAACATTACAGCTCAATTTATATTTAAAGGTTGCCTTTAAATTTATGATTGTGTATAGCACTTTATTATCGGTTTTAAATTGACTTACAACCAAATATCAAAAACCGATAGTAGAAATGCTTAACTTTAGACATAGCTTTATTTTTTATCCAATCTTTAAATATAAAGTGAGCGTTAAAGACAAGGGTTACTACGGAAAACGAGCCTTAATGAGCTTTAACAAAATTTGGTATTTTTCAGTAAAAATGCATTTAATCATTACACATATTTACCTATGTATAAATAAAATACCATAGTATAACCCATGAACCAAAAATCGTTGGTTCATGAGTATAACCCGCTTACCTTCATTGCCGAACATGCTCCATAATTTTGAAATTAAAAGCCCCATTTTGTTGCCGCTTTTGAGTTTCCTTTGCGAAGCAAATTTCTTTAATATTGCGGTCACTTTTTAGTATTTTGCACGTCAACTTTAGTAGATATATTTGAAAACCAATACATATGCAAAATTCAAGTTGCTAAAACAAGTATTTACGCGAATTCCAAAACCATATCCAGATACAAAATCGTTGAGCGAATATCGTTTCCCACCAAAAACACTCTAACAATTCCAAAGTTTTAACGATGGTAACATAACAATGACAAGTTTCATGCCCGTTGGCCCGTAGCTACAGTGGTACTGGCGTAGACCAACTGTTGACGGTGGCGCGATCGTTCGCGTTTCCGTTCACTTCTCGCGCAATCAAACGACGTAAATTGGGTTAAATTGCGACAACCTCTCAAAAACAGCAATCGACGTTCAAATCGCCGTGGTTAACACTATGCGAATTAAAAGGCTGTAACTATGAAATAAAAAACTAAAGCAAAAACTGAGTTAAGCAAAATATGGTTAACTCGTTACTATTTTTATATCATCTAAGCGGTAATAGTTCCACCAACAAGCTGCTGACCAACCATTCCAAAAGGTGTGTAGCGTCAATGGCTCGAAGCTCTTGATGTTACGATTACGCAGTCTTAAACTCTTTTGAACTTATTCCAAGTTATTTTATACCCGTTTTCGGGGTGCTATATAACTTTCACTTTCGCTGCTTTTAACTTTATGATTATTTATCAATTACAGCCAGAAAACTTCCAAAGAATTCCGAAGGGCTACCGAAATTTTAGACACGAAAGGTACTTGTTTGCTTTAAGTTGTACGCGGGGAGAAAGCAATGTGTACGGCCAGCAAACTTTTTTGTTTATGCGTTTTTAAAACTTTTATCATAAAGTTTTCACTCAATTATTTGCAAAAATAAATCGAAAAGCTTTCTGCTTTTAACATTTTCCTATACTGGGAGCTATGGTCTCGCTTTTACAATCGATGGCTCACCAACTCCACTTTTTCGTCAATTTGCTTAATCAAATGCACATTTCTACAAGTTAATTTTCGATCCGAAAACATCGTAGAATAATTGGAAACTAAACAAACTCAAAAATTACCATTCGGTTGCATTATCAATACAAATCTTAATTAAATTAATAGAAAATTATCTCACACACTTCATGTAGGAAATGTCACGAATGACTGAAAGAAACTCTCTGGCAAAAATAAAAACCAAATGTCAATTAAAGTAAAACGTCAAACGTCAATTCATTGGAATTCTTGGAATCCATTGGAATACACTACCGGAAATCATTAGAATGCACTACCGGAAGTCATTGGAACTACCGAAAGTACAGGATGAGGCGAAGGCAATATAACGACAATGGTGATGCCAGAGTATGGGCTAACAACCGATTACAAGGTTGCATTTATGGCATAGCAGAAGTATCTTTATTAGTGTGGTAATAAAAGTGTGTTTGCATTGTTCAACTTTGCGTTCAACATTTGCGTTCAACTCAGCGCAGGGTTGCACGAAAAAAAAGTTGAATGGCTAAAAATATCAAAATATGAAAAAATATCAAAATATTCGCCATAAAAAGGTGTTTGCATTGTTCAACTTTGCATTCAACTTTTGGTTGAATGGCCTTTCAACTAATCGATTTCAACAAAGTTGGTCGCCAGCCAACATTTAGGCATTCAACTTTTTTTTCGTGCAACCCTGCGTTGAGTTGAACGCAATTGTTGAACGCAAAGTTGAATAATGCAAACACTGCTTAAACTGTGACACTTGCGATACAGCAGGAGTGAATTTTTCTTCATTCTTTTCCATCAATACCGCCGCTATATTATGTTGAAAATGGATTATGAAGTAGTGGTAAAAAAAAGTTTAAGGTTCAGCGTAAGCCTCCGCTCCACACAAGGTTTTTCGACAGAAAATTTATCTCGATAGTGTGATCTAGGCGCACTGTTTTTTCTTACTATTCCAAATAAATTTTCAAAATATTTGCTATACTCTGAACAATAGGCTGGTATGCAGCTCTCAAGAAAACGGTGAACAAAAAATTTCTATTATTTCGTGTGGGTGTCTAAGGAATTTTGACAACTGATATCTCACAGCCTGTTGTCTCACTCTTTCCTCAAGAAATAAAGAAACGGGCATATATTTCTGTTGCAAACCTGGGTTAAGACAACCTCTTTTTTCATCAAAAACTTTAGAAACCCGTAGTAGAAAGCGTAGCAAATCCCTACGTACTGCCTGAAGGAAATTTGACTTAAGAAAATTTCTTAGTCATTTATTGTACGTCGTTTTATATGGAGTTTTTGCTTTTCTTGAGAGCTACACACTGGCCTTATACCTGAAATTTTAAAATAAACTTACAAAAATATAATTTGAATTTGCTCTTTTAATTAGAGTAACGTTTTTATTGAAGGTATTGTATATGGACTTATTTATAATAAATAACTTGTACAGAATTAATAACAGGTTTGGCGAAATATTTACATTTATTCACATTTTTTTGTATTCTTTTGCTTTATATTAGCCTTTTTTATGATACGTACGCACATAAATATATAATTGTTTGCATAACACAGCGATATTGCCAAGGATTTGCCTTAGGTACACTTCTTTATTATATACATACAATTCATTAATCCAATTTCCAGTATTTTCAAATTTTTCCTGATTCAGATATTTTTAAAAACCAATTAAATTCGATGAACTGCTAAAATATTGCCGTTGCCCTTTTCTAAAATAAAGAATTATTGAATTAATATTGAAATGTCATTAATAGTTGTCTTACTTTATCTCGAAGTCGTGTCCCTTTAGTGATTTCAGTAAAGCCAAAGCTAATATTGCCCCTTGTCCAAGTAAAATATATCCGCGCTTCGTTTGAGTGTCAGTGCTTGTTCGAAAATCATCCTCTTTGGCATTTATATCGACTTTTGATTGCATCTGCCGACCGCTAAAGGCCACGTTGACTGCACCACCATCTAAACGTCTGAAAAACAAGGATTGTTCCTCACGACCATTGCAGCGCTGTACTTGTGTCCTTTCTACTGAACGATAGTCCATGCGCATTGTTGAGACATTTTTTTCGCCGTCAGCAACGCGCAATGAAGCGTTGCGCTTGTCAAGAAGGCTTGTAACTTCCCGTTCCTCACGATCCCCGGAAAGCCTGTTAGCGGCGAAACGATTTTCGCGTTCATTATGCCTCTGTGAAGCAGATATATCGCCTTCTCGTCTTTCCCACTCATTGGCACTACTGGCAATTTCTCGTCGTTCCTCACTCTCATCGAAATGCTTTGTACCCACACCATGTTTTACGTGATCATCAATCCTACGAGCTATTCGTCGTTGTAACTCATGTACCCGTGCGTTAGCATCTCGTCGTCCATCTTCTCGTCTTTCTGGCTCATTAATGTTACTATCGATTGTTCGTCGTTCTTCGCTATCATCAAATTTCTGGCCTAGCTCTCGCCGGTCTCCAAGGGTTCCGACGCGTGTGATAGCATCTCGTGGATCTCGTCTTTTCCTCTCATCAAAACTTTTATCGATTGATCGTCGTTCCTCACGCTCATAAAACCGCCCGCTAGCAGCAAATTGTTCAGCGATTACATTTCGACGGTCCTCTCGGTATTCAGCGCGTGTTGTAGCATCTTGTCTTTCGCTCTCAGCAACACTCCTTACATGTGGTCGACGGTCGTCATGCTCATTTAATCGCCGAGTTGGTTCTCGTCGGTTCTCGCGGTTATCAGCACGTACTATAGTGCCTCGTCGTTCGTCTCTTCGTGATTCTCGCTCAATTACGTCACTGAAAATTGTTAGCCGGTCCTCACGATTGTCTAAACTCCTTGGACTAAGAGATAGATCCTCGCGGTAATCAAACCGCTGGGTTAATTCTCGTCGGGCGTCATCGCGTGTAATAGCATATCGACGTTCATCTTCCCGTCTTTCTCGCTCATGAACACCTCTGCCGATTGCTCGCCGTTCCTCACGCTCGTCACGTCGCCTGGCCGCAGCTGATCGTTCCTCGCGATCATCCAGTCGCTGGATTAATTCTCGTCGGCCCTCACGATCTTCACCGCGAGTAGTAGCGTCTCTTCGTTCTTCTTTTCTCAGTTCCTGTTCAGAAACACTCCTGTCGAATATTCGTTGTTGATCACGCTCGTCCGACCGCCTGGAATCAACTGATCGTTCTTCGCGATCAGTAAGGCGCTGACCTAGATTTCTTTGGTCCTTAAGGTTGTTAGTGCCTACAATAGCATATTTTCGTTCCTCTTCTCGTCTTTCTGGCTCGTCAACACTTCTATCGATTGTTTGTCGTTCTTCGCGCTCACCAATTCGTTTGGTAGGAGCAAATTGTTCTGCGCTAACATCTCGACGGTCCTTCCGGAATTCAGCGCGTGTGGTAGCATCTTGTTCTTCGTCTTCTCGTCTTTCGCGCTCAGCAACACTCCTGACATGTGATCTTCGGTTATCATGCTCATCTAACCGCCAAGTTGGTTCTCGTCGGTCCTCACGTTCGTCTAACCGCCGAGTTGGTTCTCGTCGGTTCTCGCGGGCATCAACGCGTGCGATAGCGCCTTTTCGTGATTCTCGCTCAATTACTTCATTGGCAATTGTTAGCTGGTCCTCACGATTATCGAAACTCTTTGGACTAAAAGATAGATCCTCACGGTCATTAAATCGCTGAGTTAATTCTCGTCGGGCGTAAACGCTTGCAGTAGCATATTGTCGTTCATCTTCTCGTCTTTCTTGCTCGACAGCCCTTTTTCCAATTTCTTCCCGTTCCTCACGGTCATCAATCCATCTGGTAGCAGCTGATCGTTCCTCGCGATCATCAAATCGCTGGGTTAATTCTCGTCGGTCCTCGCGAGCTCCAAGGAGAGTAATAGCGTCTTTTCTCACTTCATATCGTCTTTCCCGCTCACCAATTCGTTTGTCGATTGTTCGTCGCTGCTCACGCTCATCGAACCGCCTGGAAGTAATTGATCGTTCTTCGCGATCAGCAAAGCGCTTACCTAGATTTCTTCGGTCCTTAAGGTTGTTAGTGCCGACAATAGCATACTTTCGTTCATCTTCTCGTCTTTCTGGCTCATCAACACTTCTATCGATTGTTTGTCGTTCTTCGCGCTCGACAATTCGTTTAGAAGGAGCAAATTGTTCTGGGATAACATCTCGACGGTCCTCCCGGAATTCAGCGCGTGTGGTAGCATCTTGTCCTTCGTCTTCTCGTCTTTCGCGCTCAGTAACACTTTTGCCGATTTCTCGCCGATCCTTACGCTCAGCAACCCGTCTGGTAGCAGCTGATCGCTCCTCGCGATCTCGTCTTTCCCGATCATCAATTCTTTTGTCGATTGTCCGTCGTTCCTTATGGGCATCAAACTTTCTGGTAGTAACTGATCGTTCCTCGCGATCAGAAAAGCGTTGACCTAGATTTCGTCGGTCCTCAAGGTTTTCAGCGCGTGCGATAGCATCTCTGTGTTCATCTTCTCGTCTTTCTCGCTCAACACTTCTGCCGATTGCTCGCCGTTCCTCACGCTCATCAATTCGTTTGGTGGCATCTGATCGTTCTTGGCGATCATCAAACCGCTGGGTTAATTGTCGCTCGTCATGACTTTCAGCGCGAGTAGTAGCGTCTCTTCGTTCTTCTTCTCGTCTTTCACGCTCATCAACACTTCTGCCGATTGTTCGCCTTTCCTCACGCTCATCAATACGTATGGTAGCAGCTGATCGCTCGTCGCGATAATCAAATCGCCGGGCTAGTTCTCGTCGGTCGTCACGGGCGTCACGCGCATTAGCGCGAGTAGTAACATCTTCTCGTTCTTCTTCTCGCATTTCCCTCTCATCAACACTTCTCTCGAGTGTTCGTCGTTGATCACGCTCATCCAACCGCCTGGAAATAATTGATCGTTCTTCGCGCTGAACTAGATTTCGGCGGTACATAATGTTGTCAGCGCGTACTATAGCATCTCTATGTTCATTTTCTTGTCTTTCTCGCTCATCAAGACTTTTGCCGATTGTTTGTCGTTCCTCATGCTCATCAATTTGTTTGCTAGCTGCAGATCGTTCTTCGTGATCATCAAATCGCTGGGTTGATTCTCGTCCGTTCTTACGGATCTCAGCGCTATCGAAAACATCTCGCAGTTCACCTTCTCGTCTTTCGCGCTCATCAACACTCCTGGCATGTGCTCGTCGTTCCTCACGGTCATCAATACGTTTTGTATCAGCAGATCGTTCTTTGCGATTAGCAATCTGTCGAGCTAGTTCTTGGCGGTACTCATGGGTTTCCGCGCGTGCTATAGTATTTCTTCGTTCATCTTCTTGTCTTTCGAGGTCATCAAATCGCCGAGCTGCTTCTCGTTTGTCCTCTCGAGCTTCAGCGCGAGTTGTAGCATCTCGTCGCTCGCCTTTTCGTGATTCCCGCTTATTAATACTATTGGCAGTTAACCGTTCCTCACGGTCACCGGAACTCCTTGCTCTGGCTGATCGTCCGTCACGATCATCAAACTGCTGATCTAATTCTCGTCGGTCCTTACTGGTTTCAGCGCGTGCTACAGTGTTTATTGGTTCGTCTTCTTGTCTTTTCTCCTCATCAATACCTCTGGTAATTTTTCGTCGTTCCTCACGATCGTCGAAACGCTTTGTACCAGCAGATCGTTCTTTGCGATTATAAATCCGCGTGGTAACATCTTGTGGTTGGTCTTCTCGTATGCCGCGCACATCAACACTTCTGGCATGTGCTCGTCGTTCTTCACGCCTATCAACAATTCTTGTAGCAACCATTCGTTCTTTGTTATCATAAAACCTCTGACCTATTTCACGTTCATCCTCACTTGCATGAGCGAGTGCGGTAACATCTCTTTGGTCCTCCCGGATTTCAGCGCGTGCGGTAACGTCTCGTCGTTCGTCTTTTCGTTCTTCTCGCCCATATTCTCGTCGTTTCTCACGATGATCGGTAGCAGCTGATCGTTCCTCGCGATCTCCAAATCGCTTAACTAGTTCTCTTTGGTCCTCACGGGTTTGAGCGCGAGCGATAATATCCCGGCGTTCATCTCCACGTCCTGCCCTCTCATCAGTATTTCTATTATGTGCTCGTCGTTCCTCATTATCCTCAAAAATCCTGTTAGAAGCAAATCGTTCTACGCGATCTTCAAACTCCCGTCGGTTCTCACGGGTTTCTGCGCGTTCGTTCATCGAAATTACTCGCCGCTCATCGTTATTGTAGCGCCTGTCAGCAGTGATTCGTTCATCGCGATCATTTAACTGATTGTTTTGACCCTGTTGACCGTCATTGCTTTTGTCTGAACTGCGCTGTTCCACATACTCGTTGCCAAGTTTGGTGGTACTTACAATATTTTGCTGCTGTTTATCAGATTTGATTGGGCGATATGTCCTTAGTGTGGCATCAAAGTCTGTATTAGTAGATTTCCTGTAAGACGCATTTTCTCGCAACCAGTTTACATCACCGTTTGAGTATCGACCACTTTCACCTTCGAAACGTTCATAACAATATTCACGGTCGCAAGTGTCCGGCTCAATTCGAGCCAAACTGCTGACTACAAGTAGGTAAATGACAGTTGCCTTCAACTGCCAATACCCAAATCCCATCTTATCGTTTCGCTTAGTTTACTCTTTGCTTATCCTTTTATGTTAGAGTTATAATATTTATATACCGTTTTTTATTTAAATGCTGTTTGGCGCACTTGGAATATGTCCTTGTCGGGCTATTCGCTCTGACTTGACTGACCTCCTGAGGGAATTTTTGCCGCTTTTATACAAATCGTTAGCTCGCAAAGCCGACACCATTTGCGATTCCGTAGTCAAAGAAGTTCTCCGATTTCTTCCTTCTCAGTGAACTTCAATTTAGCACTGATTGATTGAATTTTCTTATCGCACATGTGCACCACTGCACTTCAGAGAATAATGTGTATGCATCTGTGTATGTGCGTTTTTGTGTCGTTATGGGTTCTTGTAATGCTGTATAAAAAATATTAAATATCTAGTTTTATGAATGAACATTTGCAAATCCTTGGCAATGACGTCAATGAAAAGCCTGTTTTGAATGTCAAGGATTTTTTTGCGCTGTGGAAACAAAAATCGCTGTACACAGTAAATATATTTAAAACGAATCACTGTCAAACTTAAGACTGGACACAATGTACGAAAAAGGCTTTATTTGAATCTTAGAAAAATTTTCTAAAATAAGAATACCTTGTTTATATGATCCATGGATCCTTGTGGACTTTGAGACAAAATACATGTACATTAGGGTGATCCAAAAGTACAATGCGAGAAAAGTAAAATCGGAATTTTTATGCTCGCACCCTCTAGCCTTGACTATATAAAAAAATATATATATGCACCCCTGTTTTTTTTTCAATCCAAAAATGTTTAGAGGTCACTCAAATCATTCAAAGTTTCCCGTGCATTTTATATGGGAAGAACTATTTTTCGTAGAAATGGAATAGAATCCTTAAAAATCAATATTTTTCATTCGGAAAACTCTATTTCTCATCATAAGATAAAAAAAATACCCAATTTTTTATTTAACAAGTTTTTAATATAAGCAATTTTTATGGGTCACCCCATTCTCCTGAGCGCTTTGAACAACCTCTAGGTATTTTTTAGTATTAAAAAAAATAACAGCGGTATAGTTTTTTTCGACATAGAACAATCCTAGGGGATGGGATAACTAAAATTCGGACTTTGCGTATTTGGGACCATATCGCCGTCTTCAAAAGGGGCACAACTCAAAATTACACGTTTGTCATAATGGTTTATAAACAGAAAATTTTTATGAAAATGTCACTTTATAAAGTCATTAAATTTATTTTATTTTTTATGAATAGGGCCATAAACTTTTACGAAAGTTTGTTGATTTTTTTTAAATGTTGCACAATGATTGAAGCTTGGATTTATGTGCATGACTTTTGTTAAAGAATATACTATATTTTTATAAACAAATTATTATAACTAAAAAATATTAAAATAAATGGTCAAATCTTGTCAATATGTGAGTGTCGTAAACTTATGATAAGCACTATAGTACATACAACTGACGAAGAGTATAAATTAAAGCAAAATTTTCAAACAAGCCCGTGTCATATCTTTCATTTCGCCTGTTATTACTTCACCTGTTATAATCATGGAATATACTCATTTATTCTACCAGCTACTTTTATGTAAAAATTAATTCAATGACGTCAATACCTTTTATAATTTTTTTTTAACTGCAAATAAGAAAGTGATATGACACATGCTATGTTATGTGTGTATGCATATGCCCCAAATAATATGTTAGTACATTTATATTTTAACACTTAAAAAAACATACACACATACTTATGCACGTTCATCTATTTCATTCATAAACTGATTTTCATTCATTATTTTCTACTTTATTACATTGAAGAAGTATTCGAGCGGCACAAAAGAGTCGATTACCACGCACAAAATTGCAATTACATACATACATACATCAATACAATATTTCCAAGCTCCACATCAAACGGAGGTAACATCCAACCAAATAACAAAGCTAAACTCACACGCACTTCATCACTTTCTTTACAGCACAATGTGCTAGCGGTATCCTGGTGGCTGGCTATGTCCTGCCTGCTGGTGCACATTTGTGATAAGAAGAATCCAATCAAACGCAATTTAATCGTAATGATTAATTTTTCTTTCTTTTAAACGCCGATGTAGCGTAGCTAAAAAGAATTACTTGGCACTCAGTTAGGCGGAAAATCTAAATTGTATTAACGGAAGCGCTTCGACCCTGTGTAAAGGATTTGTTTAGCTGTGGAAAAAGTATAAAAGTGGCAATTTACGCTGACTTAGAGCTTAGTGTATAGATTACCAGCTACTTGTGGCGAACTACACGTGGTGCTGATCGTCGCTGCGGAAACTTAATTGTAGTAAAGTGAAAAGGAGCAAAGTGGGTAAAAATGGGTGAGTTCGAAAGTGGTGTCACTAAATTCCATCGCGAAACAAAATTTTGCAGTATTCATCACACCTTTCTGGGTCATAGTTTTGAAAACTAACCCCCTAATCTAACAAAGCCACAAATCTCAGCGCCTTACTATTGTGATTTGAACTGCGCCTTAAAAAATGCCACAAAAATTAGATTTTAAGTCTAAAGAAATGAAAAAAAGAACCAAATTTTTTTTTTTTAGTGACATACCTATTTGTTGTAGCGGCATACTTTGAGGCGCAGTATAAATTACAATAGTGATGCGCTGAGTTTTATGACTTTTTTAGAATAGGATTGTAAATAAAATTCTGAATTTCACTACATAACTAGATAACCCAGTAATCAGGTTCGAAACAAGTTTTAAATGTTAAGCTCTAACCTTAGGATTTTCTAAATGAAAAAAAAGAAAACCCGTATTTTTTTGTTTAAAAAAAATATATATATTTATATGGGGAAAAAATACTTTTTCGTATAAATGGTATAGAATTCCTGAGAATTAATATTTTTCATTTCTTTTCAGTAGACTTCCAATAATAGAACCCAGTTGTTATATGGGTCCTCCCACTGCTTTTTTGTGGTTTATAAGAGATCTATAAAAAAATTGGTAATATTAAAATATGGTCAAATAAAAATTGGGTATTGTTATTGGAAGTCTCATAAAAAGAAGAAGATTTTTTCAATCGAAAAATATTTATTTTCAAGAATTCTATACCATGTCTACGAAAAAGTTGTTTTTCTCATATAAAATACATTAAACAATTCATAGGCTTTGAGGAAGTCTTAAATATTTTTTTTTACAAAAAAATTCCGGTACTCTTTAATCCATTTAGAAAAATCCTAGGGGTGCGAGCTTAACATTTTCAACTTTTCTTTCTCCGTGTATTCTTAGACCACATTAATGTGCATGCATACTTTGTCTCTAAAAGTTAATTTTTTCTGTACATACTTTGGACAATCACAAGGTGTCGCGAACATTTTAATGTTTATATTAAAATCGCAAAATTCAATCAATACATATATATTACCGGTTAAAATACTTTTAGAGGATTCAATGGGTATAATAAAGGCTAGTTACATAGATATACATTTACAGTGAATCGTCGACATAACGAACCTTGCTAAAACGAAAAACTCCATTTAACAAAAGTTTTGCTGAGTTCTCTGAAAAAAAATTTCATTCAAAAAAGCTCCGTAAATATAACGGAAGAAATTTTGAGAATGAAAACCTTCGAAATATATCAACAGTTTAAGTCCCGTTAGCAAAACCCAAAAGTGTCAACTCAAAAGGCTCTACACAGATAATTGTTTACATGTTTACGTTTATAGAGTCGTTATAAACCAAGTAATTTTTAAGCAAAAAAACAAAACCGACTTCAATTCTCATATAAAAATTTAAGATTATCGTTCATTTCTTCATGATCCAATGGTCGGATTTAAACCAAATTGGAATGTGACCACTTTTCCTTAAAAAAAAAAGAATTATAGAAATCGGTTAACGTGGTCCAAAGTTATGTGGTAACTTACATAAAAAAAAAAAAAACATAAAAAAAATATTGCGACGAATTGATAACCTTCCTCCTTTTTGTGAAATCGGTTAAAAATTGAGTACAAGGATTTTTTTTTTCAAGACTGCATTTTTCATTGTATCGAGGTTTTCATATTCTATAAATATTACGAAACTATAGATATAATGAAACATTTGCCCAATGAAAGTATTCACATACATACTTTAGGTGTACTGGCCTAAATACTGAGGAGAAGAGCATTTAATAAGTTTTACCTAACAAAAAACCGCGTATAAAAATACTTAATATTTTTAGCTTAACTAAATACTGACTCCCGGAAACTCCGAGATAATTCCGAAAGTCCCCAAAAAGTACCGAATGATCCCGAAAAAATAAAAAATCTCCCGAAAAATTGCCAAAGTTCTAAAAATACTTCGGAAATCTAAGACATGAAGAATCCAGAAAAAAATTGCAAACAATTTTCAAAAAAAAACTTGAAAAGTTTCGAAACTCACGACGCATTTCATCATTTTGCTAATTTATAATATAAAAAATAAAAAATAAATAAATAACCGATTATTGTTTATTTTCCTTAACCGTTTAATATCAAGATATCTACTAAATTCATTCGTACTTTGCCACCTCAAATAGTAGGTTCATTCCCGTACAACCCGGACCGGATTCGATAATTAGAGAGTAAGCGAAAAATTTGCTCTCAAAAACGGTAAAATATCCAAGCGCGCGGGAATGCAAAAAACCACATCTCGTGCCAGAGTTTGAGATACAGCTGATTCACGTGGTATTTGTTGTTAAGTGTAAACACTTAGAAATTGAATATAAGGATTGAAAAGACATCAACCGGCCATTCACTATTCCTTAAGAGCACAAAGTAAAGGAATCGAAAACATAGAAACACAAAACAGCTCATATGCACTTTGACACTTTATCAATTTTTGCCCGGTGAAAAAGTCCGAACTATTTCGGGCACGAAGAAGAAGGCATTTACGATCCAGTTGTGGAATGCATGCGCTCTTCATTGCCCATTTTCTTGAGTACGGGAACGATTTCTGGGCTATTGCCGGCATGCGCGGGATCGCGCGTTACGTTAGGAAACACACCTATTCATTACCTATGCTTTTTTACTTTAGTAACTACTTTACTAAATAAACGACAACATTAATTCAAAAGTATTTAAGTATGTATGTCCAGCACTGAATGAATAGAACATTAATTATAAAAATTGAAACAGAAATCTTTTATTTTTATAGGGGCAGCAAACCGGTTTTGAAAAAAAAAGCTGTCTTTGAATCGGACCATTGACGTATTTGGGCTATAAACGGAACGGTTTTTTTGTTTTAAATTACTAGAACCGAGCCGAAAACTACAGATGAAATTTATTCGGTTCAGTTCAAATGAAAATTGGGCAACAGTTTCTTATTAAATTACGCTTTGAATTTTGGCTGAAAAACTAAGCCTTGTATTATAAAATTACGAATATTTTTTTTTTTTAATTGAAGGTTTGCTGCCCTGGTTTCAATACGTTGCAAAACATTGTCCTCCTTTATGCTAAACTTATTTCTTT